CGGGCAGTGACCGCGGACGGGGCGCCGTGGCCTGCGCCTGGTGACCGCTGTGCGCCTGGGCCACGTGCGGAGGGCAGCGACGGCCGAGCAGTGACCCGGCCCGTGGGCGCTGCCCGTGATCCGGAAGCCGGACACCGCCCCGAGTGCAGCCCCGGGCGTGCGGCTCAGCAGGGCCAGTGTGGGCAGGGCAGATGCCCGAGGAAGGACCAAGCAGAGGGAACAGGCCGTGCAGACAAGCACTGGCACCTGGAAGGCACGAGGAGCCCGGCCACCCTCCCTCTCTCCTCAGAATCCAGGAGCTGGTGAGGACGCGGGCAGGGGCTCCCACGGGGGCACAGAGCAAGGGCAGAGCAAGGGCGGACCCCCTCCCCGGACCCGAACCTGCCCACACCGCCGCACACGGGCGTGCCCAAGCAGCACTGCGGGATGAGGGCTCAGCCCGGGCATCCAACACCCAGCCAACACAGGAGCTGCTCTCACACCGCGGGGCGCGGGGGCAAGCCGGACAGACGCGGGCAGCAAGCCGGACAGACGCGGGCAGCAAGCCGGACAGACGCGGGCAGCAAGCCGGACAGACGCGGGGGCCAAGCCGGACAGACGCGGGGACCAAGCCGGACAGACGCGGGGACCAAGCCGGACAGACGCGGGGCGGGGAGGGACGGCAGAGCGCGTGAGCTGCCGCAGACCGCGTCGCGCGCCCTCACTCAGCCTCACCGAGGGCGCCCTCACTCAGCCTCACCGAGTGCAGCTCAGGACACACAGGGCATCGGGCCAACGTGCCACGCGGAGGTTTCCAGGATTTCTTCATGTTCTGTTAGGGAAAGGGCGCGGGTGCGCGTGGGCGTGGACAGGGAGAATCTGCCATGTCCGGCCACTCCTCATACGGACACAGGGCAGGATGGGCGGCCTGAGCCACGAGGCCGAGCGCTGCCGTTTGAGCAACCGCCCACCGCAAAGGCAGAAAACCGGAGCTGCCGGGCAGAGGGTACAGCCCAAACACACGTGTGTACACCAGGGACCAGCACACGCACCCCCACACACGTGTGTACACCAGGGACCAGCACACGCACCCCCACACACGTGTGTACACCAGGGACCAGCACACGCAGCCCCCACACACATGTGTACACCAGGGCACAGCACACGCACCCCCACACACGTGTGTACACCAGGGCACAGCACACACACCCCCACACACGTGTGTACACCAGGGACCAGCACACGCAGCCCTCACACACACGTGTACACCAGGGACCAGCACACGCAGCCCTCACACACGTGTGTACACCAGGGACCAGCACACGCACCCCCACACATGTGTGTACACCAGGGACCAGCACACGCACCCCCACACACGTGTACACCAGGGCACAGCACACACACCCACACACAGAGTTACTCTATGCAAACTCTATGCGTTCCCTTACTCTCCTAAATGGGCACTGATCTGCAAACGGGGCTGTGACTGCCCCTCACACGGCTGAGACATGCTTATCCACGCCAGCCCAGCCAGCAAGACAGCCCCAGCACAGTGTGCCCACGCCTCGCTGTCCGTGTGCCAGCTGGCCCTGCAGCCACCTCCCTAGCACCCGCCTTCGGGGGGCAGGCCGTCTTTGGCCTTCCCTGTTGCTCTGTGTACGTGCTGGGCAGTGCTGGCCTCCTGCTGGCCCTGCACAGCCCTTGGCATGCCCTGAGTGTCAGGCACCAGGAGCCTACTGTCTCCCCGCGTGCCCACCCATCCTCACCCCTCTGCCACGTGCCCACCCTCAGCCCAGCTGCCTGTCCCTGCCGAGGCCGCGGACCAACACCCCAGAGCAGGCAGGGAGGGGCCTAAGCCTGTTGTGCTTGAGGCCTCGGCTGCGGGACAGACCTGCGTGGTGGCCGGGCCTGGCTCCTGCTCGCCCGAGACCAGCTCGGGGCTGCCCCTTGAGCTCACCAGCTCTGCCGGTGGCTGGTTGCCATGGAGAGAGACTCCCCCCGGTTTGGCTTTCCTCCCCAGGCACGTGGGCCAGCTTCACCCTATCAGGAATTTTCCAAACAAGAATGATCATGGCAGCTGATGACTGGGGGACGCGAGCTGGAGACGGGCAGCTGTGGGGGCAGCAGCTCCAGGCAGCCTTGATGCCCACACTGCGTCCAAGGACATGGAGCAGCGAGGGGCAAGGGCCTTATTCCCCCCGCGGGCACCGGGTGACCCCGGGTGCCGACAGGGCCACGCCCCACCAGAGTCCCACCCCACCAGCGCCCTGCCCACATTTCAGAGCCACGCCCACTCCTCAGAATCCTGTCCGCAGCCCAGGACAGCGCTGCAGGCCCAGTCTGAACCCCAGAGTCACTGCTCAGGGCAGAGTCTGGCACAGCAGTTGGGAAGGCCGCAGCTAAGACAGCCTGGGCCACCGCACCTACACGAAAGCCCTGGATTTAAAGCTGACCTAGCCCCCGTCACGACCCCAGTTCTCATTTTAAAGTATAGGCGCATCGTGGCGCAGTGCGTGGTTTCCACCTGAGACACGGACATCCCACGCGGGCACCGGTGTCTGCCCCAGCTGCTCCACTCCCCATCCAGCTCCCTGCTACAGGTCAGGGAAGCAGCACCGGATGGACCGAGTGCTTGGGTCCCTGCACCCACAGGGGACACCTGGAGGAGGCCACGTGGGAGCGGACAGGAAAAGGAGATCTCTCTCTGCAGCTCTGCCTTTCAAATAAATTTAAAAATATATTTCTTTAATTAAAAATAAAATCTTAAAACTGGACAGAAGCAGCAGACAGACCCTGGGGACAGAGGGACATTTAGAGATGTGACCTGAGCTTCCTGCTGTGACAGGGACACAGGCAAGTCAAGAGGACGCACACCTGTCCCAGGGGCTCAGAGACGGGCTTGGCGCCTGGCAGCCCCGGGCCCCGCCGTCCCTCCAGGTCAGCCCCGGGCCTCCCGTCCCTCCAGGTCAGCCCCGGGCCCCGCCGTCCCTCCAGGTCAGCCCCAGGCCTCCCGTCCCTCCAGGTCAGCCACGGGCCCCTCCGTCCCTCCAGGTCAGCCCCAGGCCCCCCCCCGCCCCCCCCCCCCCCCCCGTCCCTCCAGGTCAGCCCCGGGCCCCGCCGTCCCTCCAGGTCAGCCCCGGGCCCCTCCGTCCCTCCAGGTCAGCCAGGGGCCACACAGCAGGGCAGAAGCAAGCCCTCCAGGCCAGGAGCTCTGCTGTCAGCTAGGCTGTGGGCAGGGCCCCACTCCTGCCCAGAGGAGGCTGTGTCCAGCCCTTCCAGCCCCTGGTGGCATCAGGCTCCGGGAAGCATCCCCCACCCCCGTCTGTATGCCCCGTCCCAAGGAGGGACACACGGCTTGGAGTCAGGGCCTCCGCACCAGGAAATGCGGCACCCAGCCCGCGAGGTGCGGTGTCACTCAGTTCTCTGCCTTCTGCCTAGCGACCTGTTGATGTGAGCAGCAGAGCGGCAGGGAGGAGTCCGCTTCCATCTGCTGGTCCGCTCCCTGGGTGCCCACAGCACCGCCTGTACGGAAAGCCGAGCTAGACCCGTGACACCAGAGGAAGACGGCGGGGGACGCCTTAACCCAGCCTCTGCCCGCACTGCACAAAGCCACGTGGCCCCTACGGGACCCGTCCCCAGGAACCAGCTCTCTCAGGCTCCAAGGGCCGCCCCGTTCCCAGGCGTGTCCCCACCCTGGTGTCACGCTGCCTGCCTTCCTGGGGAGATCCGGCCTGTGGGTCCCCAGAGGCCAGGCCAAGGGACCACAAGTGCTAGTGAGGGAAGGGTGGGGCATGCATAGGCCATGTGGCTGGACCTCGTTGTCTGCAAGGCTGGCCACCAGGTCCTGGTGGCACTGTGGCCCCAGATCAGGTGGAGACAGATGCAGGTACACCCAAGCAGCAGCAATGGGGTGGTGACTATACTATTAGTCTTTGCTGGGCAATTCACAGGAGCGGTTCTGGCCAGGACACTGCAGTTTGAGCCAATGAGGAGCCAGGCTAGACTCCAGGAGAGGGAGGGCAGGTGAGGCAGTGGCACCTAGCTGGGTGTGACGAGGCGCAGAGCCGAGTGGGGCCGGGCAAGGGGGTGACTGGCCCCTGTAGACCCCTGCGGAAGCAGCCCAGCAGGTGTAGGCCTGCTCGGAGTCAGGGGCCTTCCTGGAGTATCTCCCACAGCCTGGACCAGAGCAGGGTGGGGGGAGGTGGATGGTGGGCACGGGGCGGGGCAGCCAGGGCACCTGCTGGAAGTTCAGCCGGACTGCAGGGCTGGCCAGGGTGGGGACAGCAGGACAACTGAGGGCTGAGCAGTCTTGAGGGCAATTGAGGGGCAGTGGCCTCTGGGGTGTCGGGGGCACACCGTTCCAGCCAGCCGCCAGAGGGCGGCGTCCCGCCCTGGGCACTGCCCTGAGCCGTGGATGGCCACCACACCCCAACGAGGAGCTGAGGCCACGGACCGAGGGTTGGGGACCCAGAGCTAGGCCCAGCAGGAGCTAGGCTGGGCTTCTGCTCCCGGCCCCGCCACTGACAGACAAATGAAGCGGCTGGTCTGAGCCTGGGGACCACTCCGGGCTCTCCCAGCCAGCGCCCCTCCAGATCACAGGAGACACAGGACCCAATCCGGACAGCCTTGTCACACAGCCAGGGTGTAAGAGGGACTGCGCTGGGGGACAGGCGCCAGCCTGCAGCGGTGGGTAGCCAGGGGGCTGGCCACACGAGAGCCAGGGTGGGTGGGTGAGGGCTGAGGCCTGGACACCCATACCCACCTCCAGCAGCCCGCGCAGGGTGGGGGCGTCCAGGTGGACAGGACCACAGGGCTGGCCGCAGTGACGTGCTCTTCCCCTGTGGCCCCAGAGGTCCTGGAGGGAAGCGGCGGCGTCCCCCGCCTGGCGCCCGCAGCTGGGGACGGTGCTGGGGCCATTGTTCCTTGCTGCAGCCGGTGGGGGCGTGGGAAGCCCTGGACGGTGCCCTCTGGCCCACTTGCTGACCCAGCACCTCAAGCCAGCCACTCGCACGTCCAGCAGCATGAAGGCGCTGGGGGTCGTGGTGCTGGCCCTGCTGCTGTGCCGGCAGCCAGGTGCGGGGTGGTGGGGGTCGGGGATTTCCAGGGACCCCAGGCTCAGAGCGGGAATCGGGGAGGAGAGGGGAGGGGTCTGTTTTGTGTCCAGACCTTGGTGGCCTGCTCTGTGCCTCTGGCGGGCAGGGCAGATGGCAGGGGCTGTGCGAGGGGACCGCCCAGAGCAGCTGCTGTGGGTGGCGAGCACAGCAAACCGCACCGGGCTGCAGGTGAGGAGGGCAGGGCTGAGTCGGGCTGGGGACACGGGCTTCACAGCTGTCCTGCCTGGCCAGGGAGAGGGTGGGCGCAGGAGGACAAGGACGATGACGACGTGGGGCTGGACGGCTACGATGATGAAGAGGAGGAGGAGGAGGAGGCCGGCGCTGGCCCTGGCAGCAGGGACGGAGGTACCCACCCTCGCCAACGCCCTCACTCTGACCTTGACTCTCAGCCGCCACTCGGGGAGGGAGGGGCAGTGGTGCCAGGAGCACAGGGTCCCTGGGGAGGGTGGGCTGGGGTCCTGGGGCGAGAGTCGGGGCGGCCCCTCCCCAGGACACCGCAGGGCCTTGGCCCGAGCCCCTCTCCTGCCCGCAGCACGGCTCCAGTGCTACAGCTGCCAGTCCTTACAGCGGGAGGAACGCTGCAGCCACACGCAGAGCTGCGCCCACAGCCAGCACTACTGTACCACCTTCATCACCCACGGCAACACCGGTGAGCCCTGCCCCTGGCCACCCAGCCCTGCCCCAGCCCTGCCCTGCCCTGTCCTGTCCTGCCCTTGGCCCACCCAGCCCTGCCCCTGACCACCCAGCCCTGCCCTGCCCTGTCCTGCCCTTGGCCCACCCAGCCCTGCCCCTGGCCACCCAGCCCTGCCCTGCCCTGTCCTGCCCTTGGCCCACCCAGCCCTGCCCTGTCCTGTCCTGCCCTTGGCCCACCCAGCCCTGCCCTGCCCTGTCCTGCCCCCTGCCTCACCCTGCCCTGCCCTGCCGTTGGCCCACCCAGCCCTGCCCTGCCCTGCCCTGCCCCCTGCCCCACCCAGCCCTGCCCCCTGCCCCAGCCCTGCCCTGCCCTTGGCCCACCCAGCCCTGCCCCTGGCCCTACCCTGCCCTGCCCCTGGCCCTACCCTGCCCCCTGCCCCACCCCAGCCCTACCCACCCCACTCCAGCCCTGCCCCTGGCCCCCTGCACACCTGGGAGCTGCCCACCATGACCTCAGCAGCCCCTCTGCTCCCTTGCCCAGGGTCAGGGCTCCTGACCACCTACTCCACGTGGTGCACAGACACCTGCCAGCCCATCAGCAGGACGGTGCAAGGGACCCAGCTGACCGTGACCTGCTGCCAGTCGACGCTGTGCAATGTCCCGCCCTGGCACAGGCCAGGGTCACAGGACCCACCGGGCAGCAGGGCAGCAGGCCCCCTGAGCAGCCTGGCACACGTGCTGGTCCCAGCCCTGCTGCTCAGCCTCTTTGGCAGCCTTTGAGCAAAGCGCCCTGGAAACCTGGCCAGCCCTGCCCTCCCCCCATGGCCCGTGGCCCCTGGTCCCTCTGGAGAATAAACTAGGTCTTGGCTTCTCACCCCACCCGTCTGCTCTGTGTGTCTAGGGACCTTCAGCCCCAGGGGGACCCCAGCCAGTCCACCAGGGAGGCCACAGTGGGTACTGCGGGCCATGGACAGCAGGGGAAGGGGCCTGGCAGCAGCACCCCCAGCAGGTCCTCGCTGCCCAGGGATGCCACCTCCCTCTCCTCCCCCTTGCCCCTTCCAGTGGCCACCTTGAGCCGGGAGGTGACATCCCCATGGCAGCCTCCCACTCCCAGATGGAAGCTACACCGCTGCCTGGAAGGCCCCTCCGCCACCAGCTGGACACACATGCGTGCGCATAGGCACCCACCTCACACACTGACACACAGATGAAGGGCAAACCCCGCACTGGCCCGACTCTGGCACCTCCTCCTAGCAGTCCAGTGCCCAGTGGGACCCCCTGGGTGCCCTGGAGAGCTGCTGTCCCAGGACGCTGCCCGCATGCCACCTGCACGCCCACGTGCGGCAGATGCTTAAAGAACGCAGCCCCGTCACCGGCCACATCAGCCCGCGTTCGCAGGAGCTGGGGTCCCCGCAACGCCTGCACATCCTCTAGGCTCTCGCGTTCTCAGAAGCTGGGAGGCTGCCAGTCTGCCCGGCAGGCGACCCCAGGGCTCTGGGCAGGAGGGGCACCCAGCTGGACACTGCCGGCGCCCTCCTGGTTGCTGCAACTCAGAGCCTCAGCACAGCCGTGACCAACCCAGCCCAGCTCTGCCCCGGGGCAGCACAGAGGGCAGAGGTGCCAGGAGGGTGAGAGGGGCCAGTGTGGAGGGCAGCCAGGACTCCAGGGGCCTCCTCTCAGGCCGAGTGGACACCAGCCACAGGGTGAGGCGGCAGTTACGAGCGGAGGGCACGGGAAGGAGACCAGGGCCTGCCACACAGTCCCCCGGGATGCAGCAGCTCCCGCCCCACAGGCCCTGGCCACCACGCCATGCCTGCAGCTGCCAGGCGAATGGGGGTGTGAGGAGGCCAAGGCCAAGGCCAGGGACCGCGTGCAGGGCTGGGTATCCGTTGCAAAGAAAAGCAGACAGGCCCTCCCTGCTCCCAGAACTGAAACAGCTCCAACACGCCTGTCTCGGGCGGAGAGAAAGCGGCTTGCAGAAGGGGGCGTGAGGAGGCTCCTGGGCGGGGCACCCCCTCTTGTGCTGCAGGGACCCCTGGGCCCGGCCCCTGGGGAAACGCTGCCTCCCCCAGGATGAGGGGGACCAGCCCCCCAGAATCCTTGCCTGACCTTGCTGGTAGTGCCCAAAGCAGAGCCCCGTCTGAGGGCACCGAGGGCACCGGCCTGGGCCACTGCTCAGCTAGGAGATGCGCCCATCTCCGGGGGGAGAGGTGAGGTGGCGTGGTCACCACGCCGGCCTAGAGTGCAGCCCGTCACCGGGCCCGCCGCACCTGCAGGAGGGCCCCGCCATGTCTCCCCAACCTGGCCAAGGTCCACCGAGCGCCCCGGGAGCCCAGGGTCCCGGAAGGGGCGAGGGGCTGTGGCCGTGCAGGGTCCTGCCGGCCTGCGGACACGTCCAGCTGACAGGGTTCAAGCCCCCTTCGTGGGCCCGGGCCGCTACAGACGCTCAGCTCCGCACCTCTCCCGGGCCATCCGCGTTCCCCAGGGATGAACGCGCACCTACGGCCCCGCCAACCCCGGAACCGCGGGCCGTGGACCGGAGGACGGCGAGGACAGCCCGTTCCCAGCCCTCGGTGCGGCTCCAGGGAGTCTGGGCGGCCCTGCCCGGGGGCAGCGCTCTCCGTGGGAAGGCCCAGCTCCACGGGAAGCAGGTGTCCGCAGCCTCCCGCTCCCGGTTCCGGACCCGCGCAGGCCCGGCGCCAGCAGGAAATCCCTGAGGAAGGAGGTTCGGCCCCGGGCCAGGAGCGACCCGCGCGGGGCTGCCTGAGGCGAGGCAGGGGCAGCGCCCGGCCCGGGGCCAAGCAGGCTTCCCGCGGCGCCCAGGGGCGGGACGAGCGGCACCGGCAGCGGACGGCGTCCACAGGAGCACCCGTCCACGCCGCGGCCGCAGCGCCACCGAGAGGCCGGAACGTGCGGCTAGAGCGGCCCGGAGGGGCGTGGCGCGGAGGCCCGGTGGGCGTGGCTTATCGGGGCCGACCACTGAGATGCGGTTCGGCTGCTAGAGCGGCGCCGGAAGGGCGTGGCTTATCCGGGCCGACCACTGAGATGCGCTTCGGCTGCTAGAGCGGCACCAGAGGGGGCGTGTGCGGAGGCCTGCTGGGCGGGACTTGCCAGTGCCGATCACTGAGACGCGCGTCGGCTGCTAGAGCGACCCCGAAGGGGCGGGGCTTGTCCGGGCCGATCACTGAGATGCTCCTAGGGAGCTAGAGCGCCCCAGGAAGGGGCGTGGCGCAGAGGCGTGGTGGGCGTGGCCTCTCCGGGCCGATCACTGAGACGCGGCCTCGGCTGCTAGAGCGGTACCGGAAGGGCGTGGGGCGGAGGCACGGTGGGCGCAGAGGCACGGTGGGCGTGGCTTGCCCGGGCCGACCACTGAGACGCGGCCTCGGCTGCTAGAGCGCCCCAGGAGGTGGCGGGCCCGGAGGTCGGGCCGGGGACGTGCGGCTGTGCGCGCCGTGGGCCCGGCGGCTCCGGGGCGGCCCGCGTCTCCGTGCGCTGGCCAGGACGCGCCCGCGGGATGCCCGCCCGGGGCGCCGCGGGAGGAGCCGCCGGCAGCCGCGCGTCTCCCGTGGGCGCTCGTCCGCCGCAGCCGGCGCGGGGCCGAGCCTGAGGCGGAGCATGGAGGCGCCGGGCGGCCGCAGGCGGAGGCCGCGGGCGGGCGAGGCCCCGCGCGCGGAGCAGGCCTCGGGCTCGGGGCCCGGCGAGGCGGGGCGCGCGCGCGGCCGCGGCAGGAGGGCGGCGCGCCTGAGCCCCGAGGACGAGGAGCTGCTGTTCGACGCCTTCGACGCGTCCTTCAAGGACGACTTCGACGGGGTGCCCGTGTTCGTGCCCTTCCAGCGGCGGCGGCCCTACGAGTGCGGCGAGTGCGGCCGCGTCTTCAAGCACAAGACGGACCACGCGCGCCACCAGCGCGTGCACACGGGCGAGAAGCCCTTCGCCTGCGGCCAGTGCGGCAAGAGCTTCCGGCACAGCTCGGACGTCACCAAGCACCAGCGCGTGCACACGGGCGAGAAGCCCTTCGCCTGCGGCCAGTGCGGCAAGGCCTTCAACTGCGGCTCCAACCTGCTCAAGCACCAGAAGACGCACAGCGGCGAGCGGCCCTACCGCTGCGCCGACTGCGGCCGCGCCTTCGCCTACAGCTCCTGCCTCATCCGGCACCGCAAGCGCCACCCGCGCAAGAAGCAGGACGGCCCGCCCGCTCCCGGCCTCGCCCCTCGGCCCTGAGGCGCCGCGTCCACGGAGGGCTCGGCCCTGCGCCTGCAGCTCGGCTCCCGGCGCCGGCGGCTCGGTGCAGCCCGGCTTCCTGGGCAGTGACGCCCTGCGCCTGCAGCAGACGGTGGGCACGTGCCCCCTGCAGCCCGCGCCCCCCTGCAGACGCAGCCCGCGCCCCCAGGCTGAGCACGCCCTGGTGTCGAGCCAGGGGCCTGGATTCCGTGTCCTCGGGGACTGTGGGGCAAGAGGGAGGGGCCTGGCCTTGTGTTTCCTTGAGGCTTCCTTTGTCTTGAAAGTTACGGAGAGAGGTGTCTCCGTCAGCTCTCCGCTCACCAGATGGCCACAGCAGGGCTGGGCCAGCAGGACCAGGACTTGGGTGGACCTAAGCGACTCCCACCCCGGGGCCAGTGGGGCCACAGGCGGCCTGTCTCCCACGCGGGCAGCAGGGGCCCCGCGCTTGAGCCTCTGCCCGCAGGCTCCCACTAGCAGCACGGGGGTCCAGGTGGTGCCAGCCAGCGTGTCACAGCCCGTGCCCAGATGGCACACCCTTGGTGAGGTTGCATAGTCGCCCACGCACGTGGTGTGGCGCGGCACCAGGCGGTGCTGTCACAGGGCACGGCCGCCCAGCCCGCAGCACTGGGCCGAAAGCCAGACGAAAGCCAGGTGAGCCGAGCCTCAGGGCCGCGGGCCCCGGCGCTGCCCTTCTACAAGGATTCAGGTGGAACGCAGGAAGGGAGTGTGCCCGCCGGGTCACTGCCCAGATGCTGCACTGGGCGCGGCCCGGCCAGGAGCTCCAGCCGCGCGTGGCGTGGGCGCAGGAGCCATCTCCCACTGCTGAAGCCCAATGTGGACCACTCGGCTGAGCGGGACGGGGTCCTGGGAGGACAGTCCAGGCTGGCGTGGCCGCAAGGACGCCGCAACCTTCCCCGTGCAGCTGTGTGCCAGGTGGGCGCGGGCTGCGTCCCGGAGGCCCCGCCCCAGCCGCTGGTTCCAGGTTTGGGGGTGAGCCGGTAGATGCTGGAAGTGCGTGTGGAGCCAGTGGCTGGACCGAGGGAGCTGAGAGCTGCAGACACAGGCGCTCTGCAGGGAGTCCGTGCCGGCCGGAGCAGACCAGGACCCCAGGGCCCAGTTGTGGCCGCGGGGAGCTCGGCCCACTGTGTGAGCAGGGCGAGCCGTGTGGCTGGCAGGCAGGCCCGCTCGGCAGCCGTGGCAGTGATGGGCAGAGGGACACTGCGTCCACTGGGCCAGGCCGCTCCGCCCTCCCAGGAGCCTACACCTGCTCCCCTCCCCTCCTCCGTCACCTGCTCCCCTCCCCTCCTCCGTCACCTGCTCCCCTCCCCTCCTCTGTCACCTCCCCTCCCCTCCTCTGTCACCTGCTCCCCTCCCCTCCTCCGTCACCTGCTCCCCTCCCCTCCTCCGTCACCTGCTCCCCTCCCCTCCTCCGTCACCTGCTCCCCTCCCCTCCTCCGTCACCTGCTCCCCTCCTCCGTCACCTGCTCCCCTCCCCTCCTCCGTCACCTGCTCCCCTCCCCTCCGTCACCTGCTCCCCTCCCCTCCTCTGTCACCTGCTCCCCTCCCCTCCTCTGTCACCTGCTCCCCTCCCCTCCTCTGTCACCTGCTCCCCTCCCCTCCTCTGTCACCTGCTCCCCTCCCCTCCTCCGTCACCTGCTCCCCTCCCCTCCCCCGTCACCTGCTCCCCTCCTCTGTCACCTGCTCCCCTCCTCTCCTCCGTCACCTGCTCCCCTCCCCTCCGTCACCTGCTCCCCTCCCCGTCACCTGCTCCCTCCCGTCACCTCCCCTCCCTCCTCGTCACCTGCTCCCCTCCCCTCCTCTGTCACCTCCCCTCCTCTCCTCTGTCACCTGCTCCCCTCCCCTCCTCTGTCACCTCCCCTCCTCCGTCACCTGCTCCCCTCCCCTCCTCCGTCACCTGCTCCCCTCCCCTCCTCTGTCACCTCCCCTCCTCTCCTCTGTCACCTGCTCCCCTCCCCTCCTCTGTCACCTGCTCCCCTCCCCTCCTCTGTCACCTCCCCTCCTCTCCTCTGTCACTTCCCCTCCTCCGTCACCTGCTCCCCTCCCCTCCTCCGTCACCTGCTCCCCTCCCCTCCTCTGTCACCTCCCCTCCTCTCCTCTGTCACCTGCTCCCCTCCCCTCCTCTGTCACCTGCTCCCCTCCCCTCCTCCGTCACCTGCTCCCCTCCTCTGTCACCTGCTCCCCTCCTCCGTCACCTGCTCCCCTCCTCTCCTCTGTCACCTGCTCCCCTCCCCTCCTCCGTCACCTGCTCCCCTCCCCTCCTCTGTCACCTCCCCTCCTCTCCTCTGTCACCTGCTCCCCTCCCCTCCTCTGTCACCTGCTCCCCTCCCCTCCTCCGTCACCTGCTCCCCTCCTCTGTCACCTGCTCCCCTCCTCTCCTCCGTCACCTGCTCCCCTCCCCTCCTCTGTCACCTGCTCCCCTCCCCTCCTCTGTCACCTGCTCCCCTCCCCTCCTCTGTCACCTCCCCTCCTCTCCTCTGTCACCTGCTCCCCTCCCCTCCTCCGTCACCTGCTCCCCTCCCCTCCTCCGTCACCTGCTCCCCTCCTCCGTCACCTGCTCCCCTCCCCTCCTCCGTCACCTCCCCTCCTCCGTCACCTGCTCCCCTCCTCTCCTCTCCTCCGTCACCTGCTCCCCTCCTCTGCTCCTGTCACCTGCTCCCCTCCTCTCCTCCGTCACCTGCTCCCCTCCCCTCCTCCGTCACCTCCCCTCCTCTGTCACCTGCTCCCCTCCCCTCCTCCGTCACCTCCCCTCCTCTGTCACCTGCTCCCCTCCCCTCCTCTGTCACCTGCTCCCCTCCTCCCCTCTGTCACCTGCTCCCCTCCTGTCACTTGCTCATCAGGCATTCTGATTGCCCCGACAGGATGCTGATGGTGGCGACTCCCGGAGGCTGCGTCCCTAACAGAAGATGTCAGGTGTGCGTGCTGTTCTGTCCAGTGGCTCCAGGAGCTCCTGCCTCCCCGCTGCCCGCTGCCCGCTGCCCGGGAGTGGGGCTCTGGCTTCAGCCTCTGCTCTAGGCCCTGGGAGGGATCCGGATCCTGAGCCTCAGCAGCCAGGTCGCAGCCAGACCCCACCTGACTGACCACCGTGGCTGGTGCTTGGGCCTCATCCCTGCTGTCCTGCAGTGTGGTGGGAAGTGGCACCTGGCCCGCAAGGGACCTGCCCTACAGGCCCGGGGCTCACCATTCCCAGCAGTCCAGGCGCCCTAGCCCACCGGCCCGGGGCTCACCATTCCCAGCAGTCCAGGCGCCCTAGCCCACCGGCCCGGGGCTCACCATTCCCAGCAGTCCAGGCGCCCTAGCCCACCGGCCCGGGGCTCACTATCCAGCACAATGTGGTGGCTGTGCCCGGTTCCCCTGCCTGGTGGTTCCTACTGTCCTCTTGTCCCGAGCTCAGCTTGCATCCAGCCGCGTTGGTACCGTGAGCCGTCTTGCCTGCCGTGTCTGTGGAATTCGTGTGTGGGTCCACAGCCCCTTCCACTGGTCAGTGTGTGTCAAGCAGTAAACGCTGGTGTGACCCCTCTGAGTTGGTGTGGTGTGGCCCTCAGCTTCCCAGGGGTCCGAAGGTCCTGGGGGGCAGGACCAGAGCCCCAGCCAGACTCCAAGACACACCCTTGCCTTCCCTGGGACCTCGGTCAGGCCTCGGGCCCGTGCTGCGAGGTGGTCTGAACCCGTAGGCCCTCCTGTCCATCTTCAGGTCCACTTTCCTGGTGGTTCCTGGGGGCTGTTCGTCTGTTACCTGTAGGGGTGATGCCTAAAGCAGGGTTCATCCTGGGTCAGTAAGTCCTGCCCAGGAGTCGGCGCGCTCAAGGTGGAAACATGGAACTAGGCTGACACGCTGAGCCCTGGGCTCGGGGCACAGCCGGCTGGGGGTCCGGGTCCCTGGGGAGTGGGCATGCAGTGTCACTCAAAGTATGTGCAGGCCTGGTGCGGTGGTCTAGCAGCTAAAGTCCTCACCCTGAATGCACCGGGATCCCGTATGGGCAGCAGTGCTGGTCCCAATGGCCCACTTTCCCTCCAGCTCCCTGCCCGTGGCCTGAGAAGGCAGTCCAGAGCCTTGGGACCCTGTACCCGCGTGGGAGACAGCTCCAACCGTTGCCGCTGTTTGGGGAGCGAGTCATCGGAGGGAAGATCTCGCTCTGCCTCCTCTCTGTGTATCTGGCTTTGCCATAAAAATAAATAAATCATGTGCAGAGCCAGAGCAGCAGGTCCTGACAGGTCCCCCACATTCTTGCTCCCCAGGGTGAGTGGAGGTAAGATGGGGGCCGTCGGGAGCTGCCGTCCACTGCAGGGGCCAGCGTGTCCAGGATGATCCTGGGCAGCGCAGGGCCCAACACCCCCAGGTGACTGCAAGATCTTGCAAGGGCTGGCTCACTCCCCAGATGCCTGCAACACCAGGGCCAGGCCGAGGCTGGGAGCTGGGATCCCCATCCGTGTCCTCTGTGTGGGCGATGAGGGCCCGAGGACTTGAGCCGTCACTGCTACCCACCCACTCCCCCGTGGAGCATCAGCTGGGAGCTGACCAGGACTGAAATTCAGAAATTGCAGCACTGGCCGGGGGTGTCCCGAGCGGCTTAGTCTCTGCGGCAGATACCTGTCCCCTTCCATGTCCTAATCCAGGGCTCTGGGCTCCAGCCCGCTCTCGCTGTCCACACCGTGCCCCAGCCACCAGGACTGTCAGCTTCTGTGCAATGCTGGCCTCACCCCCTCCCGTGGACATGACCTCGGGCCACCAGGCAACATGGGGGACACTCACGCCTTGGGCATCAGTGCACCCCACAGCACCACTGGCTACAGCGGGCTCTGTGGGTGGACAAGTTGAGTGGCCCCGGGCACACCCATCTGGGTGCCCAGCCCCTGGACCTCCTTCCTGGCCTGAGAAAGCCCCTGTTGAGCTGGCTTGGCCACAGCCTGACGCCAGACCCGCAGGGGGCAGCCCTCCAGCATGAGTGTCGGAGCTCCCGTGACCCCCTGCTTCCACTCTGCAGCTTTCCCATGACACTCCCACCGCAGTGG